TTTTTAGATAAGAATTAACATTATCAAATATACCCTTTTTATAAAACTCTGTACAATGCCCACAACTTTTTTCTAATATTTCAAAGCAGCCATAATGGTAACTATGACCACAGACTAATACATCCACATTATACTCAGGAAAATTTGGATCAAATTTATCATTACAATGGTCGCATTCATCTGCTTTTGGAACATGTACTGTATGATATCCAGAGGGAAGTAATTTTATATCTACTGTTTTATTTAGTGTGCAGAGTTTATATTTTGTTAATTTATATTTATTATTGAAGATTGGTTGACTGCAATTTAAATTTTCATAAATTGATGAAAAATATTCTATTAAGAAGCAACTTGTTTTTTTTTTAAAAATAGCTTAAGGTTGACATGGTATAAGGATATCTTTTAGTATTTGAAAAGGCATTTACATATGATTCATTTTTATGAGAATCAATTAAAATTTGTATAATCTGGATGTTCTTGCAACTTTTCCAATGCACTATCAGTAATTGTTCTAAATCTATCAGTATCAATAATACTCTGACAATCAATTATTGCACAAGGACCTTTATTTTGAGCATTTTTAGGCATTGTTATTATTTAGAATTTTTATTTGATTTAAATTTATTTTATAATTTAAATTTTTGAAATTTTACAGAATTTCTTTCTCTTTTATAGAATTTTTTTATTAAATGTGGAATTTTTAACAATAATTTTGGTTTTCGCCTGAAAATATAATTTTAGTATTCGCCCGAGGTCAACCCGAATCCACGAAATTTCAAATTGTGCAATGATCTTCAAGCCAATAAAAATTAATTTTTATGTGATATCTTGAAGGGGGATTAATATATCTTCACCTTTTTCTAACCTTTTTAGATAAGAATTAACATTATCAAATATACCCTTTTTATAAAACTCTGTACAATGCCCACAACTTTTTTCTAATGTTCAAAGCAGTCATAATGGTAACTATGACCACAGACTAATACATCCCCATTATACTTAGGAAGATTTGGATCAAATTTATTGTTACAATGGTCGCATTCACCTGCTTTTGGAACATGTGCTGTATGATATCCAGAGGGAAGTAATTTTATATCTACTTTTTATTTAGTGTGCAGAGTTTATATTTTGTTAATTTATATTTATTATTGAAGATTGGTTGACTGCTATTTAAATTTTCATAAATTGATGAAAAATATTCTATTAAGAAGCAACTTGTTTTTTTCTTTAAATAGCTTAAGGTTGACATGGTATAAGGATATCTTTTAGTATTTGAAAAGGCATTTACAAATGATTCATTTTTATGAGAATCTATTATGAATGCTTCTTGTATAATTGACTCTGCAGAAGAAAGCTTATGTGTTTGGGCTCTTATTCTACTGTGTACATTTTCAACAAAGTAGTCATTAAAATTTACTAATGAATTCTCCAACAATTTGGCAAATGGATGGTTGTTACTTTTCCAGTAAAAGTAATCTGATAAGAAGGCTAATGGAAGTTTATTATAATTTTTTCTTTTCCATCTTAAGAAAAAGGTCCAGATTCTAAAGATTGTTTCTAGATATTGGTCAAAGGCACCTGATCGAAACAGTATTGCATATATATCTAGAGTTGCTGGAATAATATTATCTAATAGATCTATCATCATCCTATATTCCACATCTTTGGTTTTACCAAATTTTTCTATTATCACATCAGAAATTTCTAGCCAACCATCACATGCAAATTGAAGAATATAATTAATCTTCCATGGTTTGGGTTTTTCTGGAAAATTTGCCTTCTCAAAAACATTACAATATAATTTTTTGAAAAAATCATGATATAGAACAATAACATCTTCACATGAATTCAGAGAAACATGTAAAGGCCCCAAAATTGGAATAAAGTTTAGTATATGATCCATATTACTTTGTTGATTTTTTAAATACAATGTGATGGCTTTTCTTATAAAAAGCTGTCCTGGAAAGTCAGCTATTACGGGTATAGCATTGAATTTAATATATTCTGTCAATGAACTGATACTTGTAATCATTTTAATTGCAGAGAGGTAATCATTTAGAGAACGAAGATTTTGTTCTTTTATATCTAAAATTCTAACTGTTTTCATTGATCTTTCCTCTTTTTTTTCCTCAATATTTGCACCATATAGGTGCACTGATAAAACCTCCAATTGGTTGAAATTATTTTCATTTATCATTTCATTTTGGATCCATTCCTTTTTAATGTAATTATAACTTAGATCAAAGTGACCTTTATAATCATTGGTTAGTCTGGAAATGATTGATGATGACTCAATGTTATTTGGATTAAAAAGTGGTATGTTGTTGTAATTAGCAGGAATGGCTAAAACATTTTCAATTTTTTTAGAAACACATGTTGCCATATGTGTTGCTGAAGATAATGAAGTGGAATCAGGCCTTCTCCATTCATGAATTGAATGATAATCATCAATATTAAAACAAGTGCATATACTGGCACTAAAAATAAAAACAATTAAAATTAATTTAATTCAATAATTATTACTTGAACCTTGAATTAACTTACATTATTGGTGAAATATTTTCTAATTTCTTCAGGGTGGTTTGCTTTTATTATTTTTTTTATAATTATCAATAGTTTTATATGATGCAGACATACCTGCATTTGACAATGTGTCAATAGCAGCAGCACTTGTGCCATTTTCAGATAAATAAAGGTCAAGATCCAGCTTAAAATTATTTACAAAATTATTTCTTAAACCTGCTAAAAGGTAACAATATCCAACTATTGCTTTTTTAGCAGATTCTTTATTTGAAAAGGTACGATTATCAGGAATGATATTTATCATTTCATCAAAAAATCCTTTTAATTTTGGTTCATTTTCTTCAATTAATTGACAAAATTTTATTGGATCTAATTCAATTTCTGCATGGTGTTTACATTGATTATCATAGAGTACTTTGGTCAATAATTCAATTTTATTTGAAAAGGACAATTCATCTATAATTAAAATTTAATTGTGAGTATTTATATATACATAAATTAAAATATATTTAAAAAAAATTTTAGTCTACTTTTTCTTAAGTTATTTTGAACTGTTAAATAAACATCACTTGACTCAAGTAGATGTTCAATTTCATTTTGGTTTTTTTCAATTGTAAATTCCATATCATCAATTTTTTGAACTAATAATTTAAAATCTTCCTCAGATAAGAGAACACCATTTTCAGTAATTTTGATATTAATTTTAATATCTTCTACAAAAAAATTATCATTTGTTTTTTTTTTTTCAATGCTATCTTTATTAGAATCTTTTAAGTTTAATCTTCTACATTTTGTTGATTCAACATCTTTCATATAATGAGGATGGCAAAGTTGATCATTAAGCTTTAAATAATTAAAATTTGTATAATCCAGATGTTCTTGCAACTTTTCCAATGAAGTATCAGTAATTGTTCTAAATCTATTAGTATCAATAATACTCTGACAATCAATTATTGCACAAGGACCTTTATTTTGAGCATTTTTAGGCATTGTTATTATTTAGAATTTTTATTTGATTTAAATTTATTTTATAATTTAAATTTTTGAAATTTTACAGAATTTCTTTCTCTTTTATAGAATTTTTTTATTAAATGTGGAATTTTTAACAATAATTTTGGTATTCGCCCGAGATCAACCTGAATCCATGAAATTTCAAATTGTGCAATGATCTTCAAGCCAATAAAAATTAATTTTTATGTGATATCTTGAAGGGGGATCATCACAAATTTAGCCAATGAAATCAAACTTCCATCATGCTATTACGATCTAAATCAATAAAAATAAATAATTTTTAAATTTTCTGAACTTTACAGATGGCAACTATGGAAGGAATTGAAAATGATAAAAATATTACATATAAAGAGTATGAAGAGGTTAAGAAGAAATTGGAGAAGTGAGAAGAAGAAATTGGAAAGAAGCTGAACAAGTTAGAAGATGAGTTGATGGAGGGGAAGTGGAATGGTGAAGAGAAGACGAGGCAGGAAGAGCAAAAGAACAAGTTGAAGAAAGAAAAGGAGGGGTTGAAAAAAGAAAAGGAAGTAGGTGGGCGTTGTATGAAGAAATGTTACGTGGAGGGAAAGGTAATGAACAAATTGCATAAAAAAATATACAAAAAATTATTTTCCACTCATTCATTTTGTTTATTTATTTAAATGTTTGAGGTATACTGTTTGCAATATTAACTGACAAACTTGTTTATTCATCACTATCTATTACTGAATTGAAATTTTTTCTTTTCATATTCTCTATTATACAACATGTATTAGTGGCAATGAACATTCTGGCAAAAGGTATGTAAACCTTTTGTTAATAATTGTTGTTTCCTCCTTTATATTTGGGATTAAAGGAAAGACAGAGTCTTTCATACATCTTTTTGATATATTAATATTTACCTATTTGTTATTTTCTGAATTATTGTTATCATTTTATAGATGTTTCTGATGAAATATTACAAGAACTGCTCAAAAGCCCTAATGAATTACCTGATAGATACAATCTTAAACAATTTCTTAAAGATCCACCAAATGTCAAAATACCACTTATCTATTCCCTCTTTAATTCAATTCCTACAGTTGGTCCCTTCAAAATAAATGAAACTGAATGTGACCAATATTTTTTCCCTGATAATTTCAAAAGTTGCACATCTTTTTTTGTAGATTTGTTATCTGGTATAATTAGTCTTCATAAAACTGGTGAAACTGAAGACTCATACCACAGCTTCTGGGATGATGTGATTAAAAAGTCCTTTGAAATATTTGGCATAAACTTGAAGTCAATGGAGTTTGATTGTAATACCAACAATAATACATGTTCAGGTAAATTTTATTTTTTTAAAAGGTGAATAATTGCAATTTTTTATTTACAATAATTAGAATAGATAATAATAATAATAATAATATTTTTTTTAGGTCTATGCCGACCCGATTTTATTATGTTACTGGAAAATCTTTGTCTTGTCCGTGGTGAAGAAAAGCCAAGAGGGGATAGAGGAAAGCCAGAAGATGAATTGATTGAAAAATTTTGAAACTTGGAATTATGGTGATGCCCCCTACATTTTTGGATATTATGCAAAAGGTGCTCTTGTCACATTTGCTATTTTATACAAATCCTCCACACATCATTCCAGAAACAACCATGAACTAAAATACACAGTGAAAGCCTTGATGTATTTGATTTAAATAGGTTATCAGATAGAATTAATGCAATGTTTTACATTAGAAACATATGTAAGTGCTCTCAGTGACTTTAAACTATTTTTAAAATGCTGACTTATTTCATTGTTTTTAGGTCGATTATTACCAATGATATTGGATCTATGCCCCAAAAGAGATAACCCTGAGTTTCAGGTGTTAAATAGATTAAATGGAAATGTGGTTGAAATTGGTTACACAGTTAAGAAAATATTTCTTAAAGAACAAGATGCTAATCACTTAAAACATATTTACAAGATACTGAAAGTAAGTCTATATTTTTTTTTCTGTTTTAGAGTAAAATCCTTTCTAAAAACTATATTAATATTTATAGGACAATGAAATCAGATGTGTTGATGAATTATTTGCTTCACATGGTAAAAGTGTACATTTAAAGCCTTGTGGAGATGAAAGGAAACCATCAGATTTTAATGGACTGTTAAGAGCATTAACTTGTATATTAACTTGCATTAAAGCAAGATGTCTTCTAGTTTTTACATAGATGTGTTGTATGTGTAAATTTACATCTAATGCTTTTAATACTCAATAGGGTTTACACAATATAAAGCCTTATCCATTAATGCATAGAGACATCAGATGGCCAAACATAATTTTGCATAATGAAATATATATTTTAATTGATTTTGAATTTGCTGAATTTGCTCCACAAGTAGCTTTAAATCAGCTCAAGGAAAATGACATGCGCCTGAAATGTTGAGGGGTAATCATGATGAAAAAGTTGACCTATGGAGTGTTGGACATTTAATATTTTCAAGCAACATACCACAACATCCCAACAGATCTTTCCAATCTAGCATCAAAACTATGTGAAGATGATTTAAATAGACGACCATCAGCATCTGATGCTCTTGAAAAGATTAAAGAAATGTTTAAAAAGGTAATTGATCTATTTTATTTTATTTATTACATTATTTTTTTTGTTACAAAATTAACTTTTTAAAATATCTAGTGGTACCCTTTGGATAAATGGTTAGAATATTTTGAAAATAGTTTAAATAATATCTTGGCTAACCAAACCAGCTGCTTAAAATATTAGAATTTTTTAGTGCACTTACATTCATATATACTGAACTTACCAGAGAATTTTTTAGCACTTGCATCACATCTTTTAATTATTTTTAAATAAGCGAATAAAAATTATCCAAATAATTAATAAAGCAACAAAATATCTAAGCTTTGTGTTTTATTAAACATTTTATTGTAAAAAACCTACAAAGTGAACATAAATTATATATATATGGATAAGTTTATATGAAAAGTATTAACAAAAGTAATAAGTATAATAGTTCCAATGAATATGAAAAGGCAATCAATATTTTAAAAAAAGGTTGTAATTGTGGTTGCTCTTCAAGAATTCCCAAAGAAGAATTTGCTGAATTAAGGGAATCTTTTCAAGCTCTTTCTAAAGTAGAACAAAACATATTTTTAATGGCCCAACTTAAAGCCATGGATGGTTGGTCAATAAGCAGTAGTAGATGCCTTAAGAAGAAACCAGATCTAATAAAAGAACTTTCTACCATTGGGATCACAATACACCTCTTTGTCAAGAAACTTATCTCAATATGTTGGGAATTGGTAGAACTTACTTTGAAAA